ATATATATATATATAATTATATAATGGTGATGTGATGATGATGAATTTTACTATATAAAAGTGTCATTTCCGGGTATCAAAGGTACTATTTCCTCAGCCCAAACCATGGTGGGTCTGAGGTGGTTGTGGACTCACAGCTTTGAAGTAGGTAGGCCCTAAAGTAAATACCGTACATCAAATACCATATTTTTTAGTTTTATTTTCTATGGTACATCACACATAATAATTAGGTCTCCGTGGGTACAGAAAATCGCTGATAAAAGATTATGAACATTTGTTGGCGCTTCATTTTGACTATTTAATGGTGATGTGATGATGAATTTTGCTATATAAAAGTGTCATTTCCGGCCATCTACAGGTAATATTTCACAAAATTTCCCCAAAACAGATCTGCGCTCTTGCACGCACCCCCTACCGCCAAATCCTGCATCCGCCACAGATCAGAGCCTTAAATTTTCTCTACTTTATTTAAATGATCTGCTTTTTATTAAGATAGTTCCTTGCTGATTGAATTATTATTTTCACTTCCATTATAAACTCCTCCAAGACAAACTTATTAGGCCTATCTTTTTACCGGCTAATGGTTAGTGAACATCTGATGTCCACCCTCTATGAAGTAATATCGGTTTCATTGGCGTTGACAAAGTCATTTTCTTTTACGTTCAATATGCCTACATAGTTGGTAATATAATTCTGTAAAGACGTACTGCGTCATCGGCATATCTGATGTTGAAACATTCACTGAGATGCTCTGTCTTTTCTGCTGATTTCTCACAAGATTAGTTCTCCCTAGGGATTGAAAATATAAAAATAGCTACATTTTATAAAGGTCATATGCGAAATTCGATTTTAATATGTGCAGTTAGAGTGGCAGAGGATTATGATGATGTTTTTGTTAGTTTGAAGACCTAAATATTTGTATAGGCCTATGAATCGAATAGACCTACGTTCCTTGTGATGTATTGATCTATAGAGCGGTCACTCCATAGAAGGCATAACTCAACCCTGTCATTTCATATCATTTATTATTTCCAGGCAATATAAAATACAGATTAACGAAGACACAAACCGGAAGATAAACTAAAGTAAACTGAATTACTATTGAGAGGCTCTCCTTACAAAAACACAACAACAAACGTATATACTTTCACTGAATATTGAATAATAAAGCAGAAACACTTTGACTTGAATTGGCTTTGAATTTAATCACGTCTTCTTAAACTACTATTTACTGCTTACTGTTGAGATTTTTTGTTGTAATGACTTTATGAATATCATTAGAAAAAACGTTATCGAGAAATAGGCCTATTTTACTTATTTAACATATTTTAACGCGCTTGATTGTTTTCACAAACACAATCCACTTTAATTGCGTTATTCCGTTGTGTGAGCGTGCTGTGGTAGTTTGATCACTTAATTTAACGGAATATTTTTGTAGCTTTGCAATTAAACAAAAAAGGATCAGGCATGACAAGATTTTACCTAATGGCAAAAATATATAAACTTTAAACTTTAACCAATTTGTTAAATTTAATATCTCAACTAGGCCTATACAATGTAAAGACGAGGGTATCAACTGCTAGAGTGAAAAACGTCGGTCCAACCGGGATTCTATTCTATTATAAACCTATCTGCAGGCACATATTTAATATGTGTAATAATGGCATATATTTCATAAATAAATATGTAGTTTTTTTTAAGCCTGGTCAAAAATATAGTTCTTGTGCTTGTTTGTAAAGCAAA